CATTCATCACACACCTACCATTGAAGCTGTGCGCCACTACAGAGCCGGTGTGGCGCCAACCACTAACGAGCAAATAAAGTCGCTTGTCATTATACACCGGGTTCCCTTCATACAACTGGCATATAAAGGCCAATGTTTCCTCTGTGTACTCTTCTTCCATCTCCTGTAAGCCCATAGACACCCACCCCTACACCTCCTCCTTCCATTGGAAATGAATCAGTCCCCATAGCACCAGCAGCACGCTCCTCAGTCGACACGAAGCCACACTTTTCCTCCAGCCAATTATTTCCTCTTTGGGAATCGGACGTGCACTTTCCACCTTTTTCGCTTTTGACTGTGTGTGTTTTTGTGGTTGTTGTGTGTGGATCCCCCCTCCACGATAAAAACAGCAAAGTTTCGCCTTCCTCGCCTTTCGCCTTCCTTCCCAATTTCAACTCCGATCTCTGTGAAGTTGGAAAAGTCCAAGGTTGATCAATTGAATTAGCGAAGAAATAATGGTCAAAGCTGGTGAGTATTTGCGATTGTGTGGAGCCGATTGGGTTATTTGCTGGTACTAACACAGTGAAGTTGCTGTTTTGCGTGGTGATGCTGGTGTCAGTGGAGTTGTCCACTTTGAGCAAGCGTCCGAGAACGAGCCAACCACGATCTCTTACGAAATCACTGGTAACGATGCCAACGCGGAGCGTGGGTTCCACATCCACGAGTTTGGTGACAACACCAACGGTTGTACCTCTGCCGGCCCACATTTCAACCCATTTGGCAAGACCCACGGTGCTCCATCCGACGAGGTGAGACACGTTGGTGATTTGGGAAACATTGCCACTGATGCCCAAGGTGTTGCCAAGGGCACCATCACCGACAAGTTGGTGAAGTTGATTGGCCCAACCTCCATTCTCGGTAGAACCGTTGTCGTCCACGCCGGCACTGATGACTTGGGTAAGGGCGGCCACCCAGACTCCTTGAAGACCGGTAACGCTGGTGGTAGACCAGCGTGTGGTGTCATTGGTATTGAGGCTTAACTCTGTCTACCTCCAACCAAATAGTTATATGACGTTTGTCTGCTTTTCACTCCCATTGTCAAGCCTGTAGTGCCCCCGGGGCCACCAATGGCCATTGTAACCATCTCTCTCACTGTAACAATTACTAATTACCCCTCGATATTTAACACCCTGTGCAGCTTACTCCCCTTGCAAAGCATACACATAGATGTGGTTACGCTCATCAAGATTGACGCTGCTATTCCCAAACTCACACAACTGTCACAGCTGATTGGACACAACACACCGAGGCCATCACACCAAGGCCATCACACCAAGGCCATCACATCCCATTGGCCTATTATCCATCTGTCAAGGCATGGTTGTAATCTTCCCCAGGCTTCAGAATCGGACAGCGCACGCTATTTCCGCACCGCATAAATTTCGGGTGTTTTATGCCTTTTTTCCTCTTCCAACCGTCCCAAGTCCTCACTGCTCGCAACATCTTGAGAGGTCTATAACATATTCATAGAGAGATGAAGGTGCTTGTGGTCTTAGCACTGGTGAATCTGGCGTGTGCCTTCAAGCTGTTCAAAAACATCATTGTTGCAGACGATAACAACTTTGAAGAGGTAATTGGCACGCGTGGCTCGTACACGCTGGTTAACTTCTACTCCGTGACGTGTGATCACTGTCAGAAGCTTGCGCCTCTGTATGAGCCACTTGCCACTCTTTTCAAGGACACGAATGTTCAGATAGCACAGGTTGAGGGTCGTGAGAACAAGAGGGTGAGAAGGCAACAACAGATTAGAGGGTTCCCCACGATTAGGTTGTACCACTTTGACGGTACCCATGTTGCGTCCTTCACGGGGGATCGTACCACGGAGAGACTGGCACAGTTTGTCGAAGACCATACCGGTGTCAGGGCCAAATGGCCCGAGGTTAAGACGATTCAGATGGATAACTCCACAGGAGTTGAGTCGATCATCGAGGAGAATCCAAAAGGCAGATTAATAGTTGCCTTTGTCGCACCTTGGACACACGGGTTCACGGACCGTTTGAACATATATGAAAGAGTCGCTTCAAAGTTCCCGGATGTTCAGTTCGTCTCTGTTGACGTGTCCAGCGAACAGAACAGCGACATCGTATCGAAGTACAGAGTCGATTCGTATCCAACCTTCCTATACTTTGATAAAGACGACAGTCCCACCTTCAGGTATTTCGTCGACCATGACACCACGGAGGATCGCATTGCCAAATTCCTCATGGGCCAGCTTGGTGAAGAGTACGACTCATTGGAAACACTTCAAGACGATAGATCCACGTACTTGGAGGATAAAGAGCCTTCAAGGAAGTATGGCTTCAATAGAGGATTTGTCGAGGAGGACAATGGCGACGACGACCTTGAAGATGAGAAGTGGAAAAAGCTAAGAGAGCTGTAATACGTGTATATAAAACGGTAATATAATGTGTCATCACAATGATAATGATTATCATAAGATAATAATATTATATAATCTTGACATTCCGCGAAAACGTTTTTGAACTTTTAACGGAAGAAAACACGGTGGTGTTTTTAACTTTGAAGTTTGAGTACTGTAAACATCATCTTTAATTCCGTTTGGCCATTTGATTAACGCCCTAAAGAGAAGATGAACGTGTTTAGAATCGCAGGTGATATCTCCCACCTTGCCTCGATCTTCATCTTGATCCACCAGATCACAATTACCAAGTCTGTCCAAGGTATCTCCTTCAAGACCCAACTCTTGTACTCCATCGTGTTCATCACCAGATACTTGGGTATGTGTATTCCAATTGCGGTGCTGTGATCGTCGAGACAGTACTAACAATGTTAATAGATGTAACTTTCAGATGGGTCTCTCTTTATATCTTCGCCATGAAGCTGTTCTTCATCGCGTCCTCTTTGTACATCATCTTCCTCATGCGTAACAGGTTCCGTACCTCTGAGGTTACAAAGCTTGACACATTTCCAATTGTCTACCTACTAGCTGGATCAGGGGTGTTGGCATTGATCTTCACGTATGACTACTCGATAACCGAAGTGCTTTGGGCCTTCTCCCTCTTTTTGGAATCTGTGGCTATCTTGCCTCAGTTGTTCATGTTACAGCGCACAGGACAGGCTAAAACATTAACAACACACTACATCTTTGCCCTAGGTTTGTACAGAGCCCTATATATTCCAAACTGGTTCTACAGATACTTTGCAGAGGGCAGATTCGACACTCTGGCTGTCTTCACGGGGATCGTTCAAACTTTGATCTACTCAGACTTCTTCTGGGTTTACTACAACAGGGTTATGAAGGGATTGAACTTTGAGCTCCCAGTTTAAAAGCATTCACTACATACATATACAATAATCGAATGCCAGATAAGAACACTTGTCTACCCCCAGAATGTCTATAAGAATTCAATGTAGCATTTTTCCCAGCATAGAAGACCAAGCGCCTCATGTTCATCATGTCCCTGCTCTGTCCACTCCACCCCCTCCTCCCCCACCAATTTAAGACTACCGTTTTAAGCCCACACAAAAATTTACGTTAAACCTGGATTTGTCTCATGGGCCAAGTGACGAGTGACAAGTTCCGCGGGCCGAAAGTTACGCAGAAAGTACATTCATCACGTCGTTTCCCTTAGGACCAAAAAGAAACGTGTGTCCGTTTCCCATATCCCGCCGCTCTCAGGTTGTCTTTTTCAATTGTCACAAATTACTACTGCATGGTGGTTTGTGGTTTTCTTTTTCTTTGTAACAAAAGTTGGACAAACATCCCCCCTTGTTCTGATTTGTATAAAGTTTGTCTTGTCCGGTTCTTGTTCAACGCTGCACTCCTCGCTTAACGATCACCGCCATTTCGTCTTGGTCGAAACCCGCGATCATCTGTTGAGTTACAACAAGACCATAGTCATAGCATAGTCAAAGGGAAAGGGGGAGAAGTGCAGCCTTGATTTATACAGTGGGGCACCAAAATAATCCTTATCGACCACTTTTCCTGTTCTTGACCATCTGCGATCTCGTTTCCAGGCTGTGCGTGTACATTGTTTCTTTTTTTTTCTCTCTTTTCTGTCTTAGGGGGAATAATTTGTCCCATAATTCCCTTGCCCAATCGGTGTGGACTAGCCTCGCATCTGTGATCACTATACATACAGTACACACAGACATTACACACGCATTAATTACTCTGGAAGGATTAAGTCGAAATTCAAAAAAACGTCTCTTCCTAATACCTCCAAAGCTGGGCATATCAACAGCAGCTTAAAACCATGAGTCCCAACACCCTCTACACAGCGGACACGGGTGCTCTGTTCCCATTGGATAGACAACTTGAGATAAAAAGCGACACCAAACCATTAACGCACACAAGCTCAATTCGGGTTTACCTCCAGCTGGCTGAGGATAACATCTTCCTACAAGGGTTTGACCACAACAGCTTTGAAGGAAGACCACCCACAATCCTACGTGGAGCACTCGTTGTAAGAGTCCTCAAACCGACCAAGATCAAATCCCTCACGCTGACTTTCAAAGGTATCGCACGTACCGACTGGCCCGAAGGTATCCCTCCCAAGAAGAACGAATACGTTGAAGAGAACGTTGTCATCACACACACATGGCCCTTCTTCTCACAGTGCACAGGAGGGACTAACAGCGGCGCGGACATCGTTAGATCGCCACAGGGGCTCTATGCGGTTCATAGTAACCTCGGTGTGCTATCGCATGAAGATGTTAGTTCACTGAACTTGGACGCCGCTTCGCAAACTACAACGACAAATGCCAAAGCAAACCCGTTTTCACTCCTGAAGAAAGTGGCATCACCAGAGAGAAATAGGTCGAATTCGCTCATTAGCTCCATGAGTAATGAAAACTTGGGAGATAGCCACTATGTCTTCGAGCAAGGTGATTACGTCTACAATTTTGAGCATCCAATACAGGCCTCTACCCCAGAGAGCATCGAGGCCACGTTTGGCTCTGTAAGGTACTATCTCGAGGTGCTGATCGAACGGTCTGGTGCCTTCAAGTCCAACATATCGGCCAAAATGCCGGTCACTATCATTAGAGCACAGTGCGATGAGTCCGTGGAAGACTCGGAGCCCATTGCCATCAGCAGAGATTGGGAAGATCAGCTTCATTACGACATCCTCATTGCATCAAAGGCCATGATCTTGGACGCCTACATCCCAATAGCCTTTAAGCTGATTCCTTTGGACAAGATCAAACTGCACAGAATAAGGGTTTACGTTACTGAAAATGTCGAATACTACTGCCGTAATAAGAAAGTACACAGGATGGAGCCCACGAGGAAATTCCTGTTGCTGGAACATAGAGCTCCTCCTCCAAAGGATGCCCCGCCAAATGCTGATCCAAAGACAAAGAAGATGGGCAATTTGCTAACGTCTGATGGCTATGACCTGACAGCAAAGGAATTTGAATTCCAATTGTTTGTTCCAGAGAAGCTCAACGGCACCCAGAAGTTACATCCAAACACTTCGTACCAAAATATCAAAGCACATCATTGGATAAAGATTTGTCTACGTCTCTCCAGGGTTATAGATGGGAAACCAAAGCATTATGAAATCAGTATCGACTCTCCAATCCACGTTCTGCATTCAAAATGTTCGCATGCAAATACTTTGCTTCCAGCATACGGCATACCTCAGTTTGACTCCACGCATTGTAACCATGACTCGAACATTTACTTTCCAAAGGACATTGTGGACTCTCCGCCGTTATCGCCTGAAGTTGAAGCAGTTGACGTGAACCATAGAAGCATATACTTGGCTTTGAATGGGTCAAGATCTCGCTCAAGTTCAAGTTTGAGCCATTCACTGCCAAACTTCGAATCAACATTATCAGCAAACTTGTACAAACCACACGAAATCCATAAAGAACTGACTTCTCCACAGGCGTTGCCTTTGTCACCGATGTTATCACCAATGCTCTCTGTGACATCTGACCGTGATGACGATCTACCACCTCCTTTTGACGACGACTTGCAGTCGTTATCACCTGTACAGCCCCATGGCATTGATGCCATTATGGACACTGCATCACCACCTTTGAAGAATCCACCAAAAAACCCGCCTTCTTATGATGAGATTATGGATACAACTTCACCAAGGTTACGATCCATTATAGTCCCACACATTGAGCTGACAAGGGCATCAGAGTCGCCAAACACACCTACGGGAGATCCAAATGATTTGGCAAGTGACTTCTCATTTGGTGGGACATCACCAATTATGCCGTCTTCTGTGATGAGAGCAACCGCACCTGAAGCACAGCTGATCAGAGCTTCGGTCAGGTCCGCTGCATCGACACCAAGGGCATCTTTGGACCTGAATAGAACCTCACCAAGGCCTTCTGCTGAATTCAGCGTAAGAGGATCTAACGAAATCGATAACATTCTGTCGGATCATGAAGATGAAGATGAAGAAACACCGGTTGTGGTTGCACAACCAATTGGAAGTCCAGTGTCCAGAACAAGCTCCATTTCCCCTTCAACTAACACAACAGTCCCATACATTGATGAAGATATTGCAGATATGGCACCATTGCTGAATACAACGTCTACAGTGGACTCTGTCGATGCGTTTAACCCTACGAGATTCCAATCAGTGGAATCTTTCCCAAGAAGGGAGTCCCAAAGTGCTGACATCAGTGGCTTGTATCAATCCCCACAAAATATCTTCACTGGCAGCTCCATCTTTGACTCTCCATTCGTCTCTCAAAGACAGCCATCGTTTTCCACACCTCCTGTTAGACCAGTTTCTGGAGTACGCCGTCGTTCAAGTGCTCAAACTGCAAATCCTGTGATGGCAGTACTAGGTGGTGATGATCAAGATGAGATTATTGAAGAATCTGAAAGCGTTGCTAATTCACCTAGTGATAGTAGCACCTTTCAAGAGAACGATCATTCGAGCTCAACGCTTGCTAGTGGTGGTGGTGATGTTGCAGTTACAGGTGTTAGAAAGCCATCGCCTATCAATATTGACTCATCAGGGGCAGATGCTCATAATGAGAGTGCCCAAGTTCCATCCTAATATGTGCAAACCAACATATTTTTCGTATAACTTTTATCATTCATTTAATTTAATAGTAATCATAAGTTAACTTGTAGATCCCAGTGCTTATTTTCCTAACGAGTCAATTATTCTATCAAACTCAGCGTTAGTATACTTGATGTATTTCTCCGTGTGTTTAGTGAAATCACCACCTGCATGTTTATCATGGAATCTATGGTACAGTGGGACAATGAATGAAATTTCCTTTGTCAAATACTTCTTCAAAGAAGGGTCTGTAATGTTGTACTGTTTGTATCCCTTAACCAGCTCCTCGAACTCTGCATTGAAATTTGTGAATTTCTGCTTAATTGCATCCCTGTCCTTGGAGGACAGTTTACCAACAACATTGACGTCCAGTAAGTTTGCAGCCGCTTGCTTCCATCCAGCGAGGAACATCTCTAGTGCCCTCTTTTTCAATCTTTCCAGCCGACTCAAACTAGTCGAGTCCAAAATTTCCTGAATGCCTGATCTCATAGAGATCTGTTCAACCAACGTTATATTTGTGATGAGGAAATAACCGATGGCTGATTTCTTCCTCATGAGCTGAGTGGCTTTGATCTCTAAACTCACGATTAAAGCATCAATAACATCTGAGAAGAAAGCACTGAGTAGTTCTGAAGGGTTGTCATCATCGACAACAGTTGTTGCGTTGATACTAGTCCATTTGGCTAACCATTGCGGTTTTGGCTGTGGGATCCAAGACCCAGCCTTAAATCCAACCATGACAGAAAGAGCTCCTTCTTTGAAGTCTGCAAACTTTCTTGCCTTTGACATCACCTCTACGGTGGCCTCTGAAACACCATTATCCTGTGGTAACGTTGTCAAACTCGATACTCTCTGGTCTGTGAATATCAAGAGCTCCTTAAACAATGAACGAGCCAGTTCTCTGCACGATGCAATGCACGTATTCAAAGGAGGGTATTCAGCACCGGTCTGTGAGCGAATAGTGTGTTGCAGATTAACACTGTTATCTAAGAGTTCAAATGCCAGTAAGCCTTCATTAGCAACGAATTTCTGGATCTTTCCGAGCAACTTATTGACAATTTGAATGTAGTTGTTCCAGCATCCCTCAAAGATCTTCAAGAAATGGCGAAGAATAGTATCCGGATCCTTATAGATATCCTCGAGCAAGGACCATTCATTCGACATGAATCCCAATAGGGCCTCTGTATAGTTGCCTATACCGTTAGTTCCCTTTTCATAGGGCACTTTGGGGTTTTTCGTGATCTCTTCGGTGAAGGGCACGAGGAAAGCCAGCGATTCCCTAATGGTTTTGATTCTGTTGTCAATGTACAACTGGTCGATTGGGTTGCCATTGCCGTAGAAGTAATCCACAATGTATCCGAGGTCTTTCAACTTGCTATCCTCGAGGTAAGGAAATGGTCTTCTCTCGGACATGTAAATTTGAGGATCAAACGACTGAGACACGGGCTGCAGGAGCACTCTGAAGAGAGTCTCCATCTTGAGCTCACCGTCGAGAACCGTGGACCGCAAGTTATCCCTGATTCCCTTGAACTCGCCGTCATCCTTGTTCTCGTTCAACTTGTCCAGGATCTCCTCGGACTTGTGAAGCGTCGTTATGTACTGCTTAACGTTCTCTATTCTCGCAGCACCAAGCTTCTGCTCATAAAACGCCGCTTCACTCGCAATACCTTGCACGTTCGACACCGCAAGAACACTGTCATCAACGTTCTTCTTGAAGACCGCCAGCTGTCTATTACGATTCACTATTGGAGTGAGAAGTTTCACCGACCTGTCCGACGACTCCGTGATCTTCTTAAGGGAGAAGCTCACCTGGGAGATGAGCTCCTTCGTTTTACTGAGAGACTGCTGAAGAACAACAGCATCGGCCTCGTCAATGTCCACCGTCAGCTGAGAGTACGACATCCCTGTTTATCTGTATCCGCCCTGCTCAGTCTGTGAAGCGCTGTGTATTTATCGTAAAGTGGTGAGCTCTAGACTGAAGCTCTTTTGGCTTTGCTGTTGTTTTTTTTGTCTCCTTCGCGGAGGTTTGTCTTTGTGGTTAATTCTCAGCAGGCTGCGTATGGGCGGCTTTTCCATTGTTTACACACCGCTCTCTACAACAAATGCTGATGAACTTGAGAAGCTGAATACGACCAACAGTGTGCACACACGCTGCTCACCGCTCAGCTTTACTCAGTGATCAGCCTTAGGGAGCTACAGCGATGTACGACTTTAGATCACAGTGTTAGCGTCTCCACCAGTAGCGTGGTGAGCCCACCAGTAGCGCGGCGAGCCGCTGGGTGTGTGATGAGACTTGAACAGTTAGAAGGTGATGTCAATTCGAGGTGTTGCAGATTAGTTCCTTACAGCAATGGTACGATTACAAGACATCGAACAATGTGCTCGTGGGAGTTTGATGAAGCGGCTCGGTCCGTGTTTTTGACGTGACGAATAACATTCACACCCTCCACCACTGCTAGACATCCCCGATTGGGAGAGAGCACGTAAGCCACAGCATGAACGGCGTAGTGGGATCAGTCGAGGTTTGAAATAATCAAATACAAGAATATAAAGGATGCGATGGAACTAAATCAACGTGGATGATGGTTGGGATTACAGAAGCTAACTGTGTTGTGTAATTGACTTGATTGTTAACAAAGATGGATCTTAGAGAAGGTGTTATTGTCCCGGTGACCAAAAAACCAAGACTCCAAAAAGCGCGTAAACCGTTGGTTATCAACCTGTTTACTCAGAGTTGTTGCAATACGCAGTCTGCTGCGTTGTGGAGCTACCCAGGTGATGTATCATCTGGTTATACTACCCTTGAATACTGGCAAAATCTGGCCAAGAAGGCGGAAGCTGCTAAGTTCAACGCGATCTTCATCGCTGATGTTTTAGGACCATATGACGTCTATCAAGGACCCGGTAATTACTCTTTTGTTGCAAAGGCTGGTACTCAGTTCCCAGGTATCGACCCTTCAATCCCAATTGCTGCAATGGCCGCAGTGACAAAGAGTGTTGGTTTCGGAATCACATTTAGTACCATCAGTGAACACCCTTACTTGCTCGCTAGAAAGCTTGCTACGTTGGACCAAATGACGGGAGGTCGTGTTGGTTGGAACATTGTCAGCTCGTACCTTAACAGTGCTGCTAAGAACCTGCTGAATGGTGAGGAGTTACCTGATAAACTTAGTAGATACGAGAAGACAGATGAGTATGTCCAGGTCGTTGTTGAGTTATTATTGTCGAGTTTTAGAGAGGATGCTCTGAAGGCTGACGTCAAGACAAAGACCTTTATAGATCCGGAGCTTGTACGTCCAATTGATTTTGAAGGTGAATGGTATAAAGTCCCTGGTCCTTCATACACTTCTCCATCACCACAGGGAATCCCTGTTTTGTTTGAAGCGGGTACATCCCCTGCAGGTATCGAACTTGCAGCTAAATGGTCAGAGGTTACATTCTCTAACGGTCCAACACCACCATTTCTCCGTCACAAGTCTGATAAACTCAAAGAAACAGCTTCTAAGAGATATCAGAGAGATAAGGATTCCCTAAAGGTCCTAGTGCTTGTCATGGTTATTGTTGCTGAGACTGAAGAGGGAGCTTGGGAAAAGTACAATAGATGGGCAGATGCTGCTGACCCTATCGCTGCACTGGCAATGCTTGGTGGATGGATGAACACCGACTTCTCCAAGTATGATGACGACTTCGATCTGCTGCAATCCGAAAACGTTAAGGACCGTGAAGTTGTCAAGCATTTCTGCGTGGATATCTTGGATAAAGGCCCTGTCACCAAAGCTGTCTTGGGAAGACACGTCTCAGTCAAGGGGTCTTCAGACCTCGTTATCGGTTCCGTTGACCAAGTTGTTCAGAAACTGATTGATTATGTCGAGATTGGTGGCGCCGATGGGTTCAACTTCTCCGCCCCTGTGAACCCAGCAGGCTATGATGACCTTATCGACCTCGTTATACCACGACTCAGAGAGGAAGGTCTGGCCTGGAATGATTACCCTGTTCCAGGTGGAACCTTGAGAGAGAATTTGACAGGCGTCAAAGGTGCAAAATATTTACCAAAGGGTCACCCTGCTAATCCATACATCTGGACAAAGGACCTCTCAAGATCGGAGTTTGAGCATAAGCTTAGTGAGTATAAAACTCTTCTCAAAGAGGAAGAAGGTGATGCATTCAAGCACTGAATGTGCTTCAATTGTACATAAACCAATCCAAACATATGTTGACTCATCGAAGTTGTTTGTAATAACGGTTCCAAGACTTACACTCCCTCGCTCGCTCCCATAGCCGTTACTTCAATGTCTAACATGTTTATATATTTGTCTGCTTCTTGAAGGTTTTCCCATACTGACGCATGCACTAAACCTACCTCTACATGATGCATGAAAATGGAGAAGTGCTATGCAACATTTGATTGAAAAACTGTGGGCATACAACTGAGGAACAGCCAGTCAGGTTACCTGGTGCTCGATCTGGTAGCCCATGGTACCGTGCTCGTGTGATTTTGGACCCATTGCTAGGTTCTTGCGAATTGTGACGAGATCACTGTGATCGGCATAACGTTCACGTGCTCATCTGGTAGGGAAGATGTCGCTTGTATCACCGTTTTGGGAAACGCTCACCAAAACATTAGCCACATCGAGAACGGCACATCTATCGAAGATTGGACTCAAACAACACACGATGTGAGGAGCCAGCTGGTGTGGAAATGGTTATAAGCGGAGATGATTGCCGTTCTCAAGGGGAACACAATACTTTCAATAAATGGACAGCAATTAGGGAAGAAAACACCACGGTAGGAATGGAAATCAACGACGAGGAACTGGAAAAGTCTCACAAGAAGCAGAGACTCCAAAGAGCACGCAGCCCATTAGTTCTGAACTTTTTCACGCAAAGTTGTTGTAACTCACAACCAGCTGCGTTGTGGAGTTACCCAGGTGATGTATCAAGTGGTTATACTACACTTGAATACTGGCAAAACTTGGCCAAGAAGGCTGAAGCTGCAAAGATCAATGCGATCTTCATCGCTGATGTTTTGGGGCCATACGACATATACAACGGTCCAAACAACTATTCATATGTTGCTAAGGCTGGTACTCAGTTCCCAGGTATCGACCCTTCAATCCCAATTGCTGCAATGGCCGCAGTGACAAAGAGTGTTGGTTTCGGAATCACCTTTAGTACCATCAGTGAACACCCTTACTTGCTCGCTAGAAAGCTTGCTACACTGGACCAAATGACGGGAGGTCGTGTTGGTTGGAACATTGTCAGTTCATATCTTCATAGTGCCTCTAGAAACTTGTTGAATGGTGTTCCATTACCAAACAAGTTGGGGAGATACGAGAAGACCGATGAGTACGTCTCAGTCGTTGCTGAGCTACTATTATCGAGTTTTAGAGAGGATGCTTTGAAGGCTGACGTCAAGACGAAAACTTTTATTGATCCTGAATTGGTTCGTCCAATTGACTTCGAGGGCGAATGGTATAAGGTTCCCGGCCCAGCGTACACTTCTCCTTCGCCTCAGGGAATCCCAGTCTTGTTTGAAGCAGGCACTTCCAAAGGTGGTGTTGAATTGGCTTCAAAATGGTCTGAAGTTGCCTTCTCAACTGGTCCCACACCAGCGTTGCTTCGCGTCAAGACAGATCGTATTAGAGAGTGTGCATTCAATAGATATGGAAGGGATCCTGAGAGTGTTAAGGTCTTAGTGTTTGTGATGGTTATCGTGGCAGAAACTGAGGAAAAGGCCTGGGAAAAGTTCAACAGATACGCTGACGCTGCTGATCCAGAGGCCGCTCTTGCCATGGTTGGTGGTTGGACAACGTCTGACTTATCAGGCTACGATGACGATTTCGACTTGCTCCAAACTGACAATCCTGTGCACCGTGGAATAGTGAAGCACTTCTGTCCAGTAATTGCCGACAAGGGCCCAATCACAAAGAAGGATCTTGGTAGACACGTCTCTGTCAAGGGAACAACGGATTTGATCATTGGATCTGTTGATCAAGTGGTTCAAACGCTTGTAGACTATGTTGAAATCGGTGGTGCTGACGGCTTCAACTTTGCTCCAGCTGTGAACCCAGATTCTTATGATGATCTCATTGATTATGTGCTTCCAAAATTGAGAGAGAAAGGTCTCCTCTGGGAAGATTATCCAGTCCCTGGAGGAACTTTCAGAGAAAACTTGAAAGGAGTCCAAGGTGCAAGCCACCTATCTAAAGACCACCCTGCTCATGGATACAGATGGACTGAGGATCTCTCTAGAAAGGAGTTCGAAAGCAACTTTGCAGAATACAAAAAGGAGTTGCGCGAGAAGCAAGGTGATGCTTATGATCAAAGTGCCAATAACGGTGACAACGCCAAATAAAAAGAAAACACCTATATATAGTATGGAAAGAAAAAGAATGTATGCCAGTCTACTATCAAACGACAACCTGTAGGACTCAGTTGCGGTTAGCGAAAACGGCACTTTAGTTAACTCTTGGACAAGCTTGACCCCATTAACAACATCAGCTTTTACGTGGGGGCCAGGGAAGGTGAGTAAACCCATTGACAATTCTCATCAGAACGATGAAAACATCAGAAGTTAATACTCGGTTTCCCCTACTGATTCGATGCCAAAAAGAGATTGAGAAGCCAATGTTTGTCCTTGTAGTTTTGAAAAGATTTCGTTGGAGGAAGGAAAAGTTTTCAGGGAAAAAAAGTTTATGGTGATGAGCACACAGGGGAGTTTCACCTGGACACCGAATAACCTGGACACCGAATAACCCGCACACCTAATAACCCGCACACCTAATAACCCGGACACTAAATAACCCGGACACCTATCAACTGTTACACCTCCATTGAATTCGATCAGGTTTCCCATACAATTGTCTCTTGATGGAGTGCCAGCGTTGTTCCTCGAGGCCATTAAAGAGACAAATGACCAATACTGCCCTTATTTCACAGCAACTTCATGAGTTCAAGGCCCAGGTTGATCATTCAAACGATGATAAAGCAGCATACGCCAACTATCTCCTGTGTAAGCAACACCTGTCCACGCTCAAGTCCATACGGATACGTCTGGTGGAATCCAAGAAGGATGAGAAAGTAAACGATCTTTTGGAACAGTATGCCAATTCCATAGAACAAGTGCAGCTTCCAAGTATTCTTCTCTTGGAATCGACTCTCGCAACTGATAAGAAGAAAAGAAATCAACGGTTGTCTGTTGACCTACACGCAGTTGGACTTGAACCTGTTGACGAGCTGGTTGGCTCCAGCGCAGTGGAAGACGATGAGAACCTGACCCAACTGAAGCAGAGGTTAACAGATGGAAGATCACA